CAGACATTGAGAAGTTACGTGAAAGGAAAAGCAGATAATCACTGACATGAGAACTCATGTAATCAATCGATACCCCCTGCTCCTCATTTCGCAATAGAGCATGTCCTAGGAGTTGTACTTTCTCTGCCGTCGACGATTGTTCTCTAGGCGTTACCTATTCGAAACAAATCCTGAATTCACATAAAGATGTCATCGCCGAATTGGACAGGGGATCTTACTCGAACCAGGCCTGACAACCGATTTCACTAGATCTGAGCCGTACTTCTCGGAAGAGAACAACCGGGGCTCGTTTTTTCAGCATCTTGGAAAAAACTTTCAAACAGAGATCAACCGGTTTCCCCCGCTTCTACAATTTAACCAGATAACTTGAGTCGTGAAAACCAACTGATCATCAGCCTTCCGTGCATCGGGTTCTTGTCGGGTGCTACCGCAGACAGACAGGACTTGCCATAGTGGATACAGAGCACCTCTGATTGGTTGTAGCCACGCGCTCATCGCTCACTGTTTCATTTGTTCAAAGAATAAGGATCATTTTGTGAAAAGTAGACAGATATGATCATCGTATGCCATACTGTTCACGAAACCCCATAGAGTTGCACGGTCGAATAGGGCATGAATGGATCACAACAGGAGATGCTTTCATGCACTCTCCTACCAGCTACGTCTCCCCATTGATCCTGGCAATTAATATCAATAGTCTTTACATCATATCGAAACTATCCAACATCCTGGAGACTATAAATACAGGAGGTGGATGAGATGTAACATATCGAAAGATGAAGCTCTTCTTTCTCCTCTCTGCTCTCTGCGCCGTCGCTTTGGCTCAAATCACCTGCGAGAAATACTGCACTGGTGAACTTGGAGCTCCTAACTGCATTCCTCCCCGTCACGATGTGTAAGTTCTTTCTTCTACGTTTTCAGTCATTCATTCTGATTAAGCTGGCAGACCAAGCCATGCTACGCTCAATGCGTTAGCAACTGTAACTACAACAGTGTCAACTGGTGTGCTAATAACAGATACAAGTGAGTTCAGAATCATATAGGCCATAACCAACCATGTGCTTCAGATGCTGTATGACTGCCGCTGGATTCAACAATACCCACAAATGCTGGCCTCAATGGAACGCTGCTTCTTAAAGATTCTCCTAATAAACCTCTATCCATAGCCGATTCTTTTTTGTTTTCTGAAATGCCGATCCGTAAGGAGATCTCACTTTATTAGAAACTCATCAAACCTTTGAGAGTTCCACCTTGTTTGTGTTTGCAATTCAATCG